CTCTAAAATAAATGAATCAAAAAATCTAAAAAAAAAAAGAAAAAAAAAAAAGGAAGAACGAAAGAAAGAAAGGAAAAGAAATGCAATGGTTATCTCCAGGAAAACACTCATGCAAGCGAGTTACAAGCTGAACTAGCTCTTCCTTTTGTGGACACCGTTTTTACCTGAAGAACTAAACGATGTTTATTCAGACTTTGATATCAGGCTGACATTTTCTTTTCTTTGAAAGATTTATTTGAAAGAGAGAGTGAGTGCGCACAAGCAGGGGGAGCAGCAGAGGGAGAGGGACAAGCAGACTCCTCACTGAGCTTGGAGGATGACGTTAGGCTCAATCCCAGGACCTTGAGACCATGACCAGGTACCCAACGGGCTGAGCCACTGAGACAGACACTGTCTTGAAAATGAAGTGAGTCTGTCACTTCAAAGAAAACTAATAGTATCTGTTACCAATGATAAAATGCAGACTGGGCTCTTAGGCAAAAAAATAAAGTTTTAGAAAATTTGTATCCATCAGCATTAAGCTTGACAGCCTCACACTACCTGAAATTTCTGATAAAATCAACGGTGATATTAATAAAGATGATTTCTGATGCTCTATGATGAAACGCGCCATTATCTGGAAGATTGGTGTCACTCAGGAACACTAACAACCAACCCATCACGTTGCAAGATCAAGCACTTGTGAAGAATCCCCTTGAACTATGCCGTGTGTCCCCTATCCCGAAATACAAAGTTTAACTGGAGACGCTGGGTCTTCAACGGAGTCCCAGCATATCGGAGCACATCCAGGGGGTCCCAGCAAGAACGTTTCAGAGGGGCATCTGGGTGGCTCAGGCGTTAAGTGTCTGCCTTCCGCTCAGGTCAAGGTCCCAGCGTCCTGGGATCGAGCCCCATTCGGGAGCCTGCTTCTCCCTCTCCAGCTCCCCCATGGTTGTGTTCCCTCTCTATCTCTGTCATAAATAGGTAAAATCTTTAAAAAAAAAAAAAAAAGGGGGGGGGGGAGTTCAAAGAACCAAGGACATTCAATTAAAAAAGACAACTTAGGTCTTACAGTTGTTAAGTTCTATCGAAATCAAGCAATCACTTACTTCGTGGCCCGAGTATGCAGGTTGAACCAGCTGTACAAATGGACTGCAGAGGCACGACATACTCTCCCACCCACCCCTCTCTTCTAGTTCTAGGAGAAGCTGGAGACTGGAAGATTGAGGGGGGGGTCTAAACTAGGGCTGCTACCCCTCCCCCACCGATGTCTGACACGGTCCAAGTTTCTGGAAGTCCACTTGCTTGAACTTGCATCAGAGCCTCCCAGAACACTAAAGGTTAATTTCAAAATAGAAATATACTAAGAACGTTTTTAGAAATCTCAGAAGCACTTACACTAAATATTCCAAGCATAAATTGGGTAAGAAACCAATAACCTACACGAACAAATTACTCAGCTAGCATTCATTTATAATACAGTACGCTACTCGTAAGATGCTTTATACCTATGAACTGAATAGATTTTGCTTACGTGGCTTTAGGAATGCAGCCAGGAAAGTAAAAATTCACTCGTTAACTCAACAGTAATTTTCCCATTCTTATTGATGCAAGGGAAGTATTTTAAGAACTAAAAAAAATTATAAATTTTTAGTAAAATTCATAATTTATAAAAAATTATAAATCAAGAGCTAAGATTTAATAAGCATACCGGACGCCATGCTGCATGCTTGAGATATCTCACTGAATATTCCTGATACCCTCAGAGGAGTTTCTATCTTACATGTGGGGAAAATGAGGCTCAGAGTTAAGGAACTTGTTCCAGATCTCACAGCTCGTATGTGGCTCAAGGCTCAGCTGACACCTGACCTCTGTCCTCTCTGCCTGATTCTAATCCAAATCTAGGCCTTTTCCCCAAACTGTGTCAGAGGCTCTTGGTAAAGCCAAGTATCTCATAGAAGATAATGATTTAGAATCAAGCACTGGGAGATTAGGGAGTGGAGAGGAGGAGGACAATAACCCCAAACTACTTGTCATTTGGTAGGCAAACAGGATTTTAAAAATAAGCTTTTAAATACTTTCGTGAATTCTACCATGATCGATGCAAACAGTTACTGTTTTTATAGACTGCTTTCTTCCCCTTTTTAGTTTTAAGATATGCTTAGAAATTTAGACAGAGATGCCAAGCTTAAGTCTTAGAAGACTCAAAAGCTAGAATTCCAATCCCCCTCCCCCCCAACCTGGAACTTGATGAAGAATACTTAAACGTGTAGTTTTACCACTTTAGAAGGTACCATTTCCAGCAATTTCAATTCTTGCTACCTCCAAGTTCCACTGATTCTCAGAACTGATGGTTTTAGATGGGAGCGCTCAAAAGTGTGTTGTAGTCAGCAATGTAAAAAATCACTATTACCCTCCACTTTACCACCAATGGCAAATGAGGAATTAAAACCCAGGAAAGAAAATTTAGCAAACTGCAGAACAAAATACACTCCAGATCTAGTGCAGTTAACTACATTAATTTGGAATTCTGATTGGACTTGTTTTTTGGCCAGCAATGCAGTCCCCAGGTCTCTCTCTGGCTGCCAGAGACATGCCTCTCTAAGTTGAGAAAATTAAGCAGTAGCTTAACCCTGCTTCCTGACAACAGCACTGATTACTACATACCACTACAAAACAAACTTACAGGGAATGTATAATTATTAAAACCAAGTTTTTTCTTATGACCATGCACTTCAAACTTGAGATTCCCTTTGTCTGTGACCCAAGTGGCTTAGCGTTGAGACCTCTTACTCAGCTAAGGTGTTTTAGACTAGAGGGAAGGTGTCTTGTACCAAAGTACCAAACACAGCAATGCAAAAGACTGGCTTTCCAGAAGCGACAATCTTCTAAAATGCCTAAGCATTGTATCTCAGGATAAGCAGAGAGCATCGAGACATCTGCGGATGTGAAACATAATGCACATAACGGTAGAAATAATCACTGAAGGTTATCAACTAGCCTACCATCTTGCTAAATTTCAAAGAAACCAGTAACTTAGTAACTCCAGATCTAACGAAATTAAAATTAACGCTGACACTGGAAAAGGAAGCTTCGGCCCAGGCCACACAGCGGCATGTTTGGTCGTCTGTGAAGTTTCTGGACCCACTCCAGACACTGTTTACATCAACACACAAATTCACCAATAGGTTTTTAGAACTACTTTTAGCAATCTGAGTGGTATTTCCCGTGTAGTTTTACATGGACTTGAAGTCAAGCGGAAAGCTCCAACAAGGTCAGATGTGGAAGAGCTTTAACCGTAAAGTGACTTTTTATCAGGAAGTTTAGGACATGCAGAGTGCCTAGCTATTTTCCCACACCAGTTTTACGGAGTACATCTGGACACAGGGCCAACATCTTTTACTGGTCTTCTGATGTTTCTAACTAAGAGCAAAGTAAGAGAATTTCGACCACTTGATATCATTCAAGGCAACCCAACTGTCAGAATGTGACATGCACTGAAAGTCTGCCTCAAACACCAGAAGTCATCCCAACAGCGGGCAAGTCTGTCAAAAAGCAGAATAAAGAAGAAAAACAAAAACCCAAACTCCAAAACCCAGATTCAATATAATATGACTTATTATAGTCCCAAACCCAACTAAAACTCCTTGGATCTGCCTTCAATCAAACCAAACCCCTCTGTTTAAGAGTTTTCCTGGGCACTTCCAAATGTTTCCTGGAACTGGAAAAAAAAAAAAAAAATCCCAGTTATTAAATTTCAAGATGACTTAGCTGCGAATTTCACGTCTAGAAACATACCCCAAAGGCAATGTTTTTCCATGTCGTCCAACATCTATTTCTTTTTTTTTTATTAGCAAATAAAATATTCTTTGAAAGAACAGGTGGCTCCACCTTCCCGGACTCCCATGTTCCAGTGTCATTAATACTGGGTACACTCCGGCACCCAAACAGCCTTTGTCTGAGCCAGTCCCAAACCAAGGTTTTAAAAGATCACTCTTCACCGAACAAAGATACTTTTCGGATTGAAAACCCAGGAGACCGGACACCTCAGCAGGTACTATTGTGGGGTTATCCTGGGAAAGGAATCCTTTCTGTAAAAGTACACAATGGCCAAGTGTGTCCTTCACCAACAGGAAAATGCTTAGAGCCCATCTCCTGAATTCTGTATAAGGGAACTTGCATTCAAAAAAAAAAATCACGCAAAACCCAGCGTGGAAACGAGGTATCTCCATTATATACTGTCTGTATATGACCAAAGTCAGAACGAGGCTAACTGCGATTCCTTCCCCAGGTCAGAAAGGAGAAACTGAGGAGAATTAAAAGATTTTCTGCCGGGAAGCACGTAGCACCTGTCACTAAGGCACCCTGACCCAAGACACAGCAGAACAGAAAATCCTACTGTGTGTTTTCCTTTGCTCGGTGCCCCCCTCTCCCGGCGCGAATCGGACCATTCCCGAGCTCTAGCCGCCAAACCCCGGCCTCGCGTGTAAGGGAAGGGAGGCACCCCTCGCCCTCCCGACCTTACCCCGTCCGCTGGCCTCCTAGCAAAGCGAGCCGGGGAGCTGGCAGGGCAGACGGAACGCCGGAGGCTGCGACTCCGACCGCGACCGGAGCGGGCCCGGCGCCGGCCCCCACCCCGCGCTGCAGCAGAGCCCCGCGCGGGCCCTGCCGTCCTGGGGGATGGGATGGGAGCGGGAGCCCGTCCTCCCGGGCGCTCGGTGCCACTGCGGCCTGGCCCTGCGGCCGAGGGAGGGCCAAGACGACACGGCGGCCGCGGCGGGACACACGGGGACGACCTGCGCCGCGAGCAAGACGCGGGGGAGCCTAACCGCCGCCGCCCCCTCCCGGAGCGCGCCATTTCCAGGCCCCGGCCCTCCCGGCGCCTCTCCCAGGCCTCCGCGGGCCCCGCCGAGCCCCCTACCGCCCGCCGCCCCGGGTGAGCGCGGGAAGGTCGCCGCCCCGGGGCCCCTGACTCCGCCCGCCCCCCGCGCCCGGCCGGGGCCCGCGCACGCCCGCCTCACCCTCTGCCGCCGCCGAAGCTGCTGTAGGCCCGATCGTCGTAGGTATCGAAGTCCGCCATTTGCCGTCTCCGCTCCGAGAGGAACCAGGGTGAGCGAGGAAGGACCCCGCAATATAACTCCCCCCGCCCCGCCGCCGGGGCTGTCCGCCGCGCCGCCTGATCGCAAATCGCACGCACGCACGCGCGCGCGCGCGCACGTACGCCGCGCCGCGCCCGGCCTGGGCCGACGGGCCGCTGCTGGCCCGGCGCGCTCTGCGGCCCACGTGGTGCGGCGGCGCGTCCGCGGGGCGCCTGGCCTCGCGCCCCCGCCCATTGTGTGCTGGCCCCGGGGCTTCACCCGCAGCCGCCCGCTGCCCCCGCCCCGCCCCGCCCGTGCAGGCCGGCCGGACCTGTCCCGGGAAGCTCGGGTGGCCGGCTCGGCGCGCTCCCACGGCCCCTCGGGCGGCTGGCCCGGGACCCTGCGCCCGGCGCGCTGCGCTGCCGGCTGCCCTTCAGCATTCCGTACTCCAGACCCGACAGGCCCCGGAGGCCTGCTCCGCTTGGCCCCACTCCCGACGCCCTCTTCCTGGGCAGAGGGTCGCCCGCCTACACCAAAGTAAGGGCCGCCTCCTCCAGGGACCCCCCCCTCGCGTCCACGCCCCCAAGCTGGGCACTTGCTGAGAATGCACGGGGACGGAAGGCCGGGGAGAGGCGAGGATCCGAGCGTGGCAGGCGGTGGGGGTGCAGCTCGGGATCCCGCGTCCGGGGGTCCCCTGGCCGCTTCAGGGCGGGTGGCGGAGAGGAGAGCGGAGGTCGCCGAACAGAGCCGGCGCCTTGCGCATCCCGATCTTGCAGAGGTCATCGCGCCGGGAAAGAATTCAACACTGACTTGAATTTCATCTCGCCGTAGCGGAGAGTGGGAATGCAGCGAGAATTAATTACACCGGCTCTTCCCCGGGTTTCTCGGTGATACATTGTATCTAGACACGATTTAAAAGAACCTCGGGATTGTTGCGCTATATGCTCGGTGCTTTTCTACTTAGGCAGTTTTTGCTGCTTTATCCCGATGCTGGGATGGACAGAGCGGCTATGAAGTCTTTTTTTTTTTTTTGCTTTCATCTCTTTTTATCTCCAAGTGATAAAACCACTTTACCGAGCGGTAGACCCAGAGGTCCTTGGGCTCTGCCTCTTGCTAGCTGTGTGACTTTGAACAAGTTACTTAACCTCTTTACTGTCTCAATTTTATCATCTGTTCAAGGGGAGGGTATCGCCTACTTCCTAAGCGTTGTGTTGGGAGAATTCCTGGTGCACCATAATTTGTATGGAGCACACATCCATGTGCCTGGCCTCCTTAGGGCTATATGGCTGCTTCTGTCCCTGCAGAGTTTGAACTTGGACCCTCCTTCAACCTCTCTGCCCCATCACTCCATTACTCTTAAAACGTATGTAAATGCACTTCACTGAATGGAAACCTTATTATTTTTAATTTCCTTTCTCCCAGTTTTATTGAGACCTTAATATTTATTCTTAAATGGCCTTACACTTTTTATTGTAAAGTCTCCCACTGTGAAATCCTGGGGGACAGGAACCCATATTGGGTTTTCTGTCATCTCCCATAGGGTACTACATGATGAGGGGGAAGGGGGTAATTTATCATTAATGAAATAAAAAGACAGAAAACTTCTAGAAAGGCTGACGGCTGGGGCTCTCCCAGTACTGGGACCATCCAGGGCTCATCCCCTTAATTCAGACTTAATCCTCCCTTCTCTATCCAGCCAGCACCCAGGGCCAGTCTCAGGGCACACTATGACTAGCTAAAACCCTTTCTCTTTTCGGGTCTCCAGCACACAGCCTGCCTCCTGCCGGGGATCCAAAGGATGGAAACTAGCCCTAGAAAGTTCTAAAGCTCCTTCTGCAGAGTGCATATCCTAGCCTTTACAGTTCCTGGGAGTCCCCCCCCCACCCCCAACCCCTTGAGGCCCAACCAGAACATTTTCTCTGGGAACCTTTTGTGTAGTGAGAGGTGAGGCCTGCCCGTTGCATTTCAAACTGCTTGTGTTTAATTCTGGCCAAGCCACTCACTACTAGCGGTGTGACCTCAGGCAAATGTCAGTTCTTTGTGTATAAGACAGAATTAATAGTCATTGTGATAATCAGTTTTTAGTATTCGGCTGTTTTTTAAGTTCTGAAACATTGGTGTGATATTGTTACCGTACCTAAAACAACCCCAGTTTGAATCATTTTCATGTCACGATTACGGTCAGTGATTTGAATAGTCAGTTTCTGTGCATAGACACACGGATACTCTGCAAATGTGTACAGATCCTCTCCCTGTTCTCCGTAAGCATCTTTGTTGAGCTACAGTAGCGTTTCTGTTACAAGCGTGTTACTCTGGGTCGGAGACTTTCCAAACAAGTGAATCAGAGTATGAGAAAAGTGGAAATTGACTTGTGGAGTTCTCCTTCTAGGCACATGATGTTGTCTCTGTAACCAAAACTGTAGTCCCCTGGCACTAAAAGCGGGCAGACTTGGCAAAATAACTGGGTTGGGGGGTGGAAACCTGTTTAGAAAGATCTCAAATTTATCAGACAAAGGATGGGAATGTTTGGAGAAGAAGGATGCTTCAAGTCTGTCTCCTCCGTCTGGTCTGTTTGCCAGGGAGCAGCTACAGTGTTTCTTGGAAGACAAATCAGGGCGTACCGCTGTCTCCACTCCTGTCCTCCTGTCCTGAATAGGAGCCAGAGCCCCTTCTGTGGTCCGCTCCCCTCCCAGCCCCTCCCTGTGCCCCCTAGACCTCTCAGCGCAGCCTCACTGGTTTCTTTGGTCTGTACGTGTAATGCCCCAAACTTTGAGCCTCTGCACCTGCTGTTCCCCTAATACCCACAAGGCACCCACCTTCCCTTCCTTTAGGCTTCTGCTCAGGGAAGCCCTCCCTAGCCCCTCCACTTGAAATAGCAGCATGCCTCAGTTACCATCTCACCGAAGATACCATTTGTTGTTTTCGTATTTAAGGTCTGTCTGTCCTGAGAGCAGGGAGCTTGTGTTTTGTGCTTGCTGATAAAGTCTCACCACCTGCAGCAGGGCTCGTCTCATAGAGGATGCTCAATAAATACTGGTTGCTTCTACGGAGACAGGAATCTGATGAAAATCAGATTAAAAGCCTTTCTTCATCATCCAATTTCCTCCGGTCCGTCAACTTGGGTGGCATCGCAAAGAGCTTCTGCAGCCGCTGTGCCTCCATGGACCCAAAGACCCTGGGATTCGATGGTGGCACCACTCATGGGCTCTGTTAGGGTTATTTTTGACAATATTATTGAGATATAATTCATGTACTATACAATTCATCCATTAAGGTATACGATACAGTGGTTCACAGTATCACAGAATTGTACAACCATCAACACAATTTTTTTTTTTAAGATTTTATATTTATTTGAGAGAGCATGAGCAGGATTAGGGGCAGAGGGAGAAGAAGAGGGAGAAGCAGGCTCCTCGCTGAGCGGGGAGCCCAATATGGGGCTCAATTCCAGGACCCTGAGATCAGAACCTGAGCCGAAGGCAAACACTTAACCTACTGAGCCACCCTGGTGTCCTCAACAACACAATTTTAAAACATTTTCTTTCTTTCCTCCCTTCCTTTCTCCTCCCTTCCCTCTTTCCCTCCCGCCCCTCCCCTCTCTCCCTCCCTGCCTCCCTCTCTTTCTTTCCTCTTTTTTTCCCCCAAAGATTTTATTATTTATTTGACAGAGAGAAACACAGCAAGAGAGGGAACACAAGCAGGGGGAGTGGGAGAGGGCGAAGCAGGCTTCTGTGAGCAGGGAGCCTGATGCTGGGCTCCAGCCTAGGACCCTGAGATCGTGACCTGATCCGAAGGCAGACACCCAACACCTAGGTGCTCTTCCCTCTTTTCTTGCTCCATAGCCAATGTGGAGCCCAACATGGGGCTTGAACTCCGGGTCCTGAGATCCAGACCTGAACTGAGATCAAGAGTAGGACACTTAGGGGCACCTGGGTGGCTCAGTGGGTTAAAGCCTCTGCCTTTGGCTCAGGTCATGATCCCAGGGTCATGGGACCAGCCTGGCATTGGGCTCTCTGCTGGGCGGGGAACCTGCTTCCTCCTCTCTCTCTCTGCCTGCTGCTCTGCCTACTTGTGATCTCTGTCTATCAAATTAAAAAAAACAAATCTTAAAAAAAAAAAGTAGGACACTTAACCCACTGAGCCACCCAGGTGCCCCAGAACATTTTCATTACTTGAAAGAATGGGCAGTGCTCCCCTTAGTCTTAACTTCCAAATCCCCACCTGCTCCCCAGAGCTGGGACCCAACCAGTCTACCTTTTATCTTTACAGGTTTGCGCCCTATGGACATTCCGTGTAAAAGGAGTCCTAGAATATGTGGTCCTTTGGGACTGCCTTCTCACTCAGCATGATGTTTTCAGGGTTCCTCCAACCCGTGGCGTGTTATCAGTGTCTTGTTCTTTTTATTGCCGAATAAAAATCTCATTGTCTAAGTAGACCCCGTTTAATTTCTCCGTTCCTCAGCTGATGCACATTGGGGTTGTTTCCATTTTTGGCCACTTAGAAACAATGCTGCCATGAGCATTTGTGTACACATCTTTGTGTGGACACATTTTCCCTTCTTGTGGGTATGCACCTAGAAGTGGAAACGCTAGATCCTTTGGGAATTCTGTGTTTAACTCTTTGAGGAATTTCCAGACTGTTTTCCTAAGTGGCTGTGCCATCTTATGTTCCCACCAGCAGCGTGTAAGGGGTCCGGTGTCTCCCTGGCCTCTCTGACACTGGTTGTTAACTGCTTTTGGTTATAACCATCTCATGGATCTGAAGTGGTATCTCGTTGGGGTTTCGATGCTCATTTCCTGATGGCTGCGAACATCTTTGCATGTGCTTATTGGCTGTTTATAGATCTTATGTGGAGAAATGTGTATTCAGGTCCTTTGCCCATTTTTTTTAAAGATTTTATTTATTTATTTGTCACACAGAGAGCACAAGCAGGCAGAGTGGCAGGCAGAGGCAGAGAGAGAAGCAGGCCCCCCAATGGACAAGGAGCACGATGCGGGACTCGATCCCAGGACCCCGGGATCATGACCTGAGCTGAAGGCAGCGGCCCAACCAACTGAGCCACCCAGGCATCCCCTTTGCCCATTTTTAAAT